ATGCGTACACATACATTCGTAATATTATTTATGAGCCATTGTGACAGTAGCCATGCGCAATTGCACTTTTGTTGGCACACATGGCTGAGTTGACTTATACACATTGGCATTTATGCTTCGAAATATTGTCTAAATGTTGCAACTCGATTAATATTATATTATGTGTGTTTTCTACAAGAGTTAAACCTTTATTTATTATTGGTGCTATTATAATCGTGCACGCACACAATGCAACAGCCAAAAGTGAGCTAGAACTCAAATTGCTTTACTTTCTATCATACTTCGTGTACTAATATTAATGAAAAGCATTTATTTTTGCGCTAGTGTAAGGCATGCAAATGAAAGTGTCGTTAAGTAATGCTCGACTACATTGAAACATGCTTGTGGCAAGTCAAACGAAGTTCTTATCAAATGCAACATAAACAACAACAAGCGTTAAGAAAAAAATTTTGAATTCATATTTATAAATGTGCTCATCTATCGCATACGAAGTACTCGTTGTTGATGCAACAAGCGACAAATGATCGCGAACTCAATTCCTGCTGCAACGCGTCGAAAGAAAACCAAGCGAAACAAGCAAACAATACAATCGGCTTATATTGATATGATTTGCAATATCTATTTGAAACTAAATTTAAGTTTTTGCAAAAAGTAAGATGTTAGAACAATAGGCCACGCCAGGAACGCGCTTTAAAATAGGAAACGCGGCCCAAAAGTGACACAGCCGCATGCGCCACGCCATTTATGTTAATATTAGAAAGCTAAAGAACGTAAAGTAATAGAATACCGTGACAAAGTCGCGTAAAACACGTTGCTTACACTGCATGAAAAGACAGCGACACAAGCACAACCTTCAAAAGAAGAGCCAAAACCATCGTGCAAAGCAAAGAAAGTACAGCACTTGCCACGCAGTTGCAACACGACGACAACAAAATTGACGCTTGCAGCAAACTGCGCAACGCTGGTAAAAGCAAAATGCAACAGCATTTATTTAAAACTATAGCGGGAGTGGGAGGCAGCGCGCAAGCATTAGGTAAGCGCATAAAAATAAAATAAAGTGAAACGCCGCTCAAAGTGAATTCTGTTTGCCACTTGGCAGCGATGAATATTTAGCTTCATACTCTCCAAACACTTACCGACATTGTTGTGCTTGTTATTATTGTTGTTGTCACGACACTTACTGTAGCAGTGACAGCGTGAATTTCATGAAGCTTTAGCGCATTTGCTTAGCAGATTACTACAGCAGAAGGAGGCACCGTATTTGATTTAAGCCAAGGCGATGCTTCTAAGAATATTAACGAAGCTGCAGCAAAAACTTGGAATAAATCGTAAAACAGCGGTGAAAGTATTCATATATTCTGTAATTTTACAATTTGTTCAGAAAACACTTTCGCAAATTAAACAACAGTGTGCATTAATGATTTCCATAAGAATTAAGAAGCCGCCAATGTTTAGACCGATCCAAGAGTTGACAACAGCAGGCTGTATGCAATATTTTTAAAAGCAAAAAAACAGCAAATAGCAATACCTAAAGAAATAGAAATAAAGCAACGCAGCTACTGCCGAAAAACTGCACAACTTTCTGGTGAAAGAAGAGTGAAAATAGCAATCGTATTGTATGATAAAAAATGCATATACTTGTGAAAGCAAAGCACAGTTTGTTGGTATGTGATTTCAAGCTACATTAAACAAAAGAACAACATACAAAGAACCAAAAACAAAAACAGCAACTGCAAAAATGTATAAACTATTGAAAACAAAAAGTGAACATTTAACGCATACTCACACACTCACCTATATAAGCAGTTTTTGAACAAAAGTAGGACAAACTGCAGTCAAAATCAAACTGAAAATGTTGGCAAAGGGTGGCAACAATTGAACAATCGAAAACTAAAACTGAAATTGAGCAAACCGTTGGCACTGTGTTTGATGGAATTACGACACGGCATTAAAGCAAAAGAACAAGGAACCGGAAATTAGTCAAAAGTGTATAAAGCTACACATGTTGGTTATAGCGGCTGCTCAGATACTAACTAACTACAAAATAGAAATAGCAAAAAAAAAATGTAATAATGATAACACAGATCAACAATAAGAAAATTGTTTTTGTGCATGAGTTTTACTTAATACTCGTACGTGTATAAGCAAAAAGTATATTATAAAAGATGCTTACAAATCGAAATTATTTGCTTTTCAAGCAATAAGCATGATTTAAGCATTTTTGCTATTCGCGCACACACCAAAAATTTCATGTCTCATCAACACTGAAGATTTCAATGATTTAATAAGAGACTTAAATTTATCAAAAAATTAAACAGAGTTAGAGTGAGAGTTTCATTTGAATAAATTGGTATTCCTTGTCTTACAAGCTCAACAAAAAGTCTAAAAGTAAAATATACATATAATTATTTTTATATTTCCATCTATGCCATTGGCACATTCTGTAAATCTCACAGAAAATTACGATAGTATTAAAACACTTTTAACGGCAATTAAATATATGCAATATACACCGCCAAATGGTTAAGTTTTGCTAATATTTTAACAAATATATTGAATAATGCAGTAATTAGATCTTGTTATGATATATGAAGTGAAAGACATGTATTCATTAAAATAACATTGAATTTAACATTAATACATTTGTAAATCCCCTTCTACTAGAAAAAACTGAATTATGGCTGGAGTATTGAGAAAACTAATAATAGTGGCATTGCCGAATACACTATTGATTTTCAGTAAAAAAAAAAATTGTATACGGTAATTTATATAGGTATTTTTATACGCATTTGAGATGAACTCTACAATGAATAAACCGTTGGAGCTTCAATACTCGCTTTCACCTGAAATGGCTAATATTTGTTGCGAAAGTCGCAAACATCCGTCGGCTGCAGGTGACAGCAATACATCGAATACAATATGGTATACAGCACACAATACAAAATAAAGTGTACATACATACATATGTACATATGTGTGTACAGTAAAATCAGTAGTAGAAAACTCGATTACAAAGACCCACTGAAGGGGGACTGAAGGGCGAGCAAACAGCAGGTTTATAACCCGAATTTCAGCCTGGTTTCATTTCATATTTTTGCGCTCAGCTAATCTGCTATTTTCTGTGGCACGTAACGCTTTTTAGTAAATATTGTTGATAGGAAGGTGAAGGATCTCCACGAGTAAATGAAATATGAATGCGCAAAATAAATAAATGACAAGCGAATACTTTCGAAGTGAGCGCAATAAGTTCGACATTTTGGTTGACAGGTGAAATGCGATGGGAAGTCTAACAGCCGTAAGGGGAAATGTGTGCATATAACACACACATATATATAATTTGAGAAGAAAAAACTACAGCAACAACGGCCAGTTATTGTAGCTAACGGTTGTAGTCATGTAAGCAGGCGCGAGCGGAAGTGGCGCGCATGTCAACGGACCGCCAATGCGACAGAGCGACGTGATTTGCTGACGTGTTGCGATACGGAGCAAACCACACCGAGGTTGGTGCTTTAGTGATGATGTGTGCATGCTACGTAAATATTTCATAAATGCTATGCACACACAAATACATATGTATATGCTGCAAAGGTCATCGTTTAGTGCGCAAAACCAGAATTCGGACTTTCAATTGCAAATGAAATATGCTGAGATATATACACATACAGATAATATTTCCGCAAATATGCTAAGCATTTTTTGTTTTGATATTTCAATTGAGTGTTTGTGATTTCATTAAAATAAGCCGTCATGAAAGCACTAATTAAATGCGCAATGCGCAAATGATCACCAGGAATGGCTGTCAAATCTGTCAGCATTTAATGTGAAATTAATCGCGTATAGGCAATGTATTGTAGTATGTCCATCTGCCAGTCAAACTGTTATAGATTAAATTGCAGTTATGTGAATAAAGTGTAATTTAATGCGCGTACACAAGAAATGTGAAAAAAGTCCAAATATTGCATATAACTCAATTCAATTTGATTTTCAATTTACGGTGTGTGTTGTAGAGGTATAGGTTATTATAGGTTGTTATATGTCAAACCAGCTGTCAAAGTAAATACATGTTTTTAACCTTACCTTGATCTTTAATATTGTGCACATAATTTCAAAACTCGCACCTTCAAGTAATTTTCAGAATAAGAACATATTCTGATTCAACGTGCAGCAGCTATAGACTCCTACCCTAAAAAAACATAAAATATGGTTTGCATGATGAGGGCATTATATATTACTATATATTTAAACTGAAGATGGTACTAACGCTTAATTGATTCCGCCTTTTTGGTTCCACAAATCGAGTACAATCTTTTAAGAGGCAGACCTAATCGATTTTTTTTATACCTTTAAAACAACTTACTACTTAAATTTCAAATAGTTATCTCAAGTAGTATTCAAGTTACAGCCATTTAAAGAGTGAACCCTCAGTTCCACTCCAATCAGCTGCAACAGTTTATCTTTAAATGCTTTTTTTTCGAAACAGCATTTTACGAAATTACAGCAGTGATAACTCGAAGAAAAATGATCCGATCATCATTAAAATTTTTGTTTTTTGGGGGTAACATTCAACTTTTTTTTTAGATACCGCCGTTTTGCAAATTTTAGATTTTTTTTTTCATTCAAGGAGAAGGCCGGAATCACTGCAGCAGTGAAAGACCATTTTTAATGCTGAAAATTGCACTGAGCGTTCTTGAAATATGTGTAAATTTGCCCTGAAAATTTCAAAACAATCGATACAGTTTTTTTTTTTTAATTCCCAAAAATCGAGTTTTTTAGGCTGTCAGAATAGGTATGCGCCGTAAGAGCGAAATAATTACTAAAACAGTGCAACAACTTGGAAAGAAACTTCTGTTGTTGCTGCCTCTGTTAGAACATTTTTGTTCGAGTACGTGAACACAAAAGGCTATGCTCAGGAGGCAATTACAACTGAACAGTTGCAAGCCAATAGCTGAGTCGTAAATTGTGTTTATAAATATAAATATCTTAAATAATAAGCATTATACAATTATAAAATCAAATAATATTAGCATATTTTTATTATTTTATGTGGTCTTCAGCGACATACGTCTTATGCATTTCTCTGTGGGACGTATCATCATTTGCACCGATTTCAAAGCTTCATTCCGATTGATGCTGTTCCAATTCACGCTTGGGTTCTTTTGTCCATATTCTCCATTAAGATGGCTACAAATATGCTTGTAAATCACTGAAACAAATTAACAGTTTTCAACTTACCTATTGTAACACTTTGCAAACCACCAAGCGCCTTTGTAATCAACAGCGCAATTATTTACGGGGGCATTGTCGTTATCACGATCGCGGGTAGTGAACTTCATACCCACGTGCATTTTCAAACTATCGCCGGCAGTTCCTATGTAAGTACCCAATACTTTTAGTGAATAACCTTCCGAATCACTGCCGACTACAAATTCCGAATAGCGTGCATAATAACTGGCGCCACTAAACCTCTCTAATTCAATATACAGCTCATGTTGACAACTGCTGGTGAACGCATGCAGTTTTTCCAATCCAATCCAGTAGTTTTCAGTTAGCACACCAAATCCTTCCTTATACTCTCGCCAATCTCTGTAAAAGTTCACGGAATCACTAACACGTCGTTGTATAACTAACCAACCACCATAATCTGTCTCTTCATTGCAATACACGGCAAAGGGCGTGGCACTAAACTTCTGCAATGTTACATTGTAAACGCCACTTTTCAAGCTTCCAGCTGCTGCCTCCAAACAATTTGAAGGCACCGATTTTCGAACACTGGAACATTACACAAAAATAACACGAATAATATTTAAAATAGATTGCAGTACCTATGCTGTTCGTCAATCGATTGCAATTTGGTTTGAATAAGTGATATTTGTGTCAAAATATCATCTTCTCGCTTTCGCACAGCTTCCAATTCTTGAAGCAACGTTTTAACGACATCTATCTGCACATCACAATTACAATCAGAAAACGTGCTTGAATCAAGGGTTTCACCACAAGCGTTCTTAGCGGGAAACCACAATAAATACTGCAGTAATAACAACGATAAATAGCTGAGCATTTTAATTTAAGCAACTCGCTCTAAGCGACTGTTGCATCAAATCTGTGCTGGCGAGCTCAAAACTTATTCAAATTATCAATATACATAAATATAAGGTGCTTGTATATACCGGGCAAGATATGGCTTACAGTGAGACATTTCACGTATTCTATTATTATTCAAAAAAGCACAACTCAATATGATATGAAAAATGTTTACACTGAAAAAAAGCATTTCCAATGCTTTTATTCAACCATCATTCGTAGAGGATTTTAATTATTTATATATACCTTATTAAAAATTTATGTATTACTTTATTAAAAATATTTCAAATGTTGCCTTGTCCCACTGCAATTTGTGTTCACCATATTATACATGGAAACGTATACCTAGATCTGTGATAACCTTCGAACTTTTTTGTTATCAATTCCTCCTCACAGCAATAAGCTATATGTGGCTGACGGGTATGTGTATAATATTTAAGATTAGATTAAGATTAAAGAATTCGGGAATTTATTTATTGTATTGAATATATTTATATAGCTGTTTGAGTAAAGAAGGCGAGTTTTTTGTATGAGTCTTTTTATATATAATTATATTTTATCAAAATTCAGACTATATTTTATTTTAATTTTCAATGTATATGCCAATATTGATGGCATGGATTATTGACTGTGAAGCTGTCGCGTATTGAAATCGAACAGTCTTTATCGCTTCGTAAAGTGAGTATTACCTTAAAAGGGTATTCTAGTGTAGAATTTCAAAAAGATTGATTTTTTTTCATATTTTTAAAAATTAACTATTTAAGGATTGTCTACCAGAAGATTTTTGAAAATTTCAGTTATTTTCGGAGCTATAGACATTTTACTGATCCGGCCTCCAAACTGATTCGGCTGGGTCTGAGAGCAACAACATGCACAATTTGAGCGATTTCACGGCGCTATTTTAGGAGTCGATTTCACGGCGATACGCTTTCCATAACCAAAAACCCTACTGCGAAATTATATATGAAAAGACTGAAGGAAAGAGAAATTAAATATTTTCCAGAGTCTCAGTCGACATTTAGTACAACAGCAAGTATGTGCTTCCAGCATTAGGTGATAAGATCATTTTTTATCAATAAATGTACCAAATTCCAACGTATGTAAGGGGCGTTTAACACTAAGAATATTAAATTACCATCGAACTTAAAGCTATCCATTTATTTTATTTGCTAGAGCATATTTGTTGTTGCATTGTAAAATTCCAGTCACTTGCCCTTTTTGCTGGCACATCTTTCATCGATTATCGTGGAGTTGCATAGTGCCATCATATAGTTCGGGCCACTTGCCTGCTGTTTGTCGCTGCCTTCTTTGTCAAAGCGCCACCATAAATTTATGGACAATTTATAAAATGTTCGAATGCATATGCACACTCACGCACCCAATCGACTGGGTTTGCACTACCGATTGCTGCTTTTTATGTGTAGATATATATTTATGTGCATTTTATTGCGTTCAATTTTTATGCCACTCCGGTAACTCGCTCACCACACACTTCCTGCCCTGACATTTGCCATTCGTTGTTGCAACAATAAAATTTATGATTTTCATTTTAAGCATTTTTCATTTTTTTGCATTCTGACTTTTTTGTATTTTTATAACTGCCATGTTACCGTCGTAATATCTTATTCACCATCCATTGCTGGGGTCATAAGTGAGAGCAGCGTTGTAAATATTCAAAGATTGCAATGGCGCGGAAGAAATCTGTGAGGAGGCCAACTAATCGCCTCGCTGTGAAGAAAAATCTCTCAAGAAAAATAAAATCGGCTGAAACGCTGAAAAGGATTTATGCTATCCAAAATCGTTTTAGCGATAATATAATAATCATTACTTTCCATCTATAAGTACATGGACACGGAAAGCCTTACTGCCTGTTATTGGTATTGATTTCGCAACGCACCTGTAGTATATCGCTTGCAACACTATCTACATACCAAATAAATATTATATTTATAAATTACTTATATTTTAAGAATTTATTACTTGCAACCATTCAACGTTATCTGTGGCAACATCCGCAACATTACAACGCAAATTCCTGCCCTACTTATTCGCCTAGGCCATTGCAGGTGCGCGGCGTACTCGTGTCTACCGTCCGACTGCTTTTTGGGTTGTTCCTCCACTCGGCTAGCTTTATGACCAGCTGTTGGTCACAATCCGACCATTGCGCTCGCTCACCCCTATAGTAGTAAATATTTGCCAGCATAACTACAGGCGTTGTATCTTTCCTCAGCTGTACAGCATGTAGATATACCCCGGCCAACTAGCAAGGTCCTTGCTCACCTGCAGCAGCTAACTTACGGTGCAAGTGTATTTTTTACTCTTTTTGGCTTGCTCACATATTTCTTTAGAGAAGTTCCATTTTATCGCACTTGCTTTGCTCCATTGCTTGTGCAATGTTACGTGGCTGCGCCACGGTTTACATATTTGTGGTTGTGCGTTGAATTTTGTAGTAACAATATTTATTTTTGATATTCCATGCTTTATTTATTTCGCACCGTTTTGCATATTTTTCAAATTTGTACTTACACTAACGAAAGCTGAGACTTTTCATATACTTGTATTCTCCAGCTCCAGCTCCAACTCCTATTTTGACTGCTCGTCCAGAAAAGCTTAATAACTAAGGCGGATCGCTTAGCGTTGTTGATAATTAAATAATGCTAGTAGAAACAAGGCGGCACCGAAGCTATATATATAGATATCTGGTCAAATGAAAAAAGTGTATCCTAAGCACTTGATTCCGTTCGTTCAGTTTGTATGGCAGCTATATTCCGACAAATGAGCAGCGTCTTGGTGAGTAAAGGACGTATGCAAAATTTCTGGTTGATATATCAAAAACTGAGGGACTATTTCGTATATTTAAAGACGGTCAGACAGACGGGTATGGCTCTTTACGCTGATGATTTATATGGTATACTCATATATACTTTTTAGAGTCTCCAATATTTCCTTTTAGGTGTTGCAAACGTCGCGGCAAACTTAATATATCTTGGTCAGCGTATAAAAATGTTGTATATCAAGTAAAGTTAGTACAGTTTGAGTTAGAGAGTGCCAGTCCGACCCCAAAAGTTAACTATGACAGATTTATTTTTTTATTGAAATAACCTGCAGAGCTGTGCTGATGGGTCGTAATTAAGGTCAACACCCCTTTTACTTTTATAGTGGAACTCACGCACAATATCACAAATATATCATAAATATTCTCGGAAGCGATTCAACTTTCCCACGATACATATTCGTAGGCAATGCAATTTTCACTTTTTTTGAGATTTTGCTTCAGATGTCAATTTATGCTACATCCATAAGCGAAGCGCTTATAAAGAAATTAAGAATAAAACGAAATTTGTGCTCACACCATATTGAATTTGCATAATGGGAACGACATCAGTGGTGGTCTACGCTGGGCACATGTATGAGCACATACGTACGCAAAAGTGTGTTCCACAGTATATGCTTGCTTGTTGGCTCGAAGGCTTGCTGGTTTACATGGACTTTCGAAATTTGCATTAATGCAATTTTCAGTGACCAAACGATTTCGCCGCTCGCTGTCAGTCCTGTTTCCTTTGCTGGTCGATCGACTTTGGCTTCCAGCACATCGCCATGGAACATTGCCTCATACATGGCACAGTACAGGCTGCGCAGTGTACAGTGTCATTTCGTAGTCATTTTCAGCACCCTTTGTCAGTGATGACATCTTCATTGGCTCTGCCTACCGGCGACCCGAGTCTCGCTCCAAACCTCAATAAAGTATTTGTAATGTGTGTGCCATTGGTCGGCCACTGAACATGAAGGGCCTTCACTGCCCTTCGATTGCTACAGCAGTTGATGCAGTTAAAATCGTTGCAAGTGCAAATGACAGCTGCAAATCGCTTCTGTCAAATGTACTTGTGGTAATTTTAGTGGCATTTCAGCTTTCAATATGCCTTTTCCTGCCATCGCCCCTACAATTGCCGCTACTTCATATGTCAGTTCGTCTGTCCAACTTTACAATTTTTCATATTCTGCTTTGCAAAATTTCGGCCTATTTATGCCTTCATTTTGGTATGTCTTTTTACTGGTCTAGCAATCGACTGGCGATCGCCAGCTGATGTTGACCTCACTGTCTGCTGGTGCTAACACTGTAGTCATGTTGGAATTTTTGTTGTCGGTTCATGTTGATGTTTCAATGTGTCAAACCCATTGTTATTGTTCTTGTGATTGCTCTGTTCAGCTTGCAGCTCGCATCGCCCGCTGAAAGACAGTGCAGTGGAGATTAATTAATGCCAATTATCGATTCCTGACTGCTGTTGTGACATCAGGCAGCTATGCGAAGACATGTTACTCATTTCAGTAAGCGATATTGGAGTGTTGAAGCATTGGCGCAATATATGTATAAGAGTGGTCAAAAATCGAAGATGGCAAGGGAATTGCAGAACATTTCGATCATATGCTTTAAAAGTATTTTGAAGCATTCAACTTTTTTAAATTTTAGGCCTAAAGTTAATAGTTGCACACGCTTAGTTTTTGGGCAAGCGAGCGTGCAAATAAAAATTTAGTTAACCTGACGAAACTTGGAATACGCATACATTGAGTAAGATTGATAGTCTACCTATCAGTTAAGACAGAAATATTATTATTATTATTCCGCGCTTAAGAGAAGTTAAGACTTCACATAATGCGCTGCCCTAGTTGCCGCAACCTACTGCTATCTTCCTTCTGAAACTATCGATAAATATATCATTAATACTCAAAATTGTATGTGATTTCGAGGAACACTTAGAGGTGATACGTGTGTTTCAGACAAATGCTTCGCCATTTAAATGCCAACACCTCAACAATGGCCACGAGTTTTCGTTCGTTCTGTAATTCTGTCGTACTTTGACATTTAATTGACGTTTGGCGTGTTGCAGCTATGAAAATTATTATTTTTATTAAAGCGCTCGCGCATGCTTCACGGTATTTTTTCCTTTTTCCTTCCACTGAACGTATTTACACGCCAGCAAATGTCACTGGCTGCCAGCAGCGAAGTGTTGCAATCAGCTTATCACCTCAATTTAAATGACTGTATGTTCAACAAATGTGCATAAGTGTGGATGTGGCTGTGTTTGGCAAGTGGCGTGTTATGTCTGTCCATTGTTTCGCTATTGTTTATTTACTCAGCGGTATTTTGTTGTTGTGCAATTGTTAATTTTAAACATGTTGTTGTTGTTGTGAAATAAATTATTGGAATTATTACAAAGCGCTGAAGCGCTGAAGCTCCAAAGCTGCCAAGTCACATGTGCACCAACAACTGCATGTCTGCAAACATAACCCAATGTTTATGAAATTCGCATACGAAATATTATGAGAGTTATTGATATTCTATTGTTTGTACCGTCAAACTGCCCATTTCCTGCATGTATGTGCAACTGTGTATGAATTTATTGTGAATACAGCGTTCGCTAGATAATGTGAACTAATAATTGAGCGCTTTGTATCGCCATTTTCATTTCCTTTTAGTATTTCATAGTTTTTTTCTTTTTGGTTTTTGTAGAAGGGGACACTGTCTGTTAAGCTATGTGATTAGCTTCTTCAGCAATTGAGGGCAGCAATCCCTGGTAGAAATGAAATCAGTTTAAGTACATATGTGTTGAAAATTTTGGAATCTGAATGTTAAACATCGAGCGGTTTATATTCTATGATGTTGGCATTTACCCGCATTTCTCTGTATATGTATATACATACATATATCTATACGCTGTCGTCAACTGCTATTTGCCTTCCATGTTTTACACTAATTATTGTTTCTGTTGTAGTAATGCGTATTGTCCATAATTGTTCAATATATAATGTCAATGCTAGTTGACGTTTGCATGTTTATTATTGTTATCATTGTTAGTATTGTTGTTGTTTCATATTGTACTAATATAGTATTTACAGCTTTTGGAGTATTGTTTGCACTTCACTCGCATTTACCTAATGAATCACAGTTTGCGTACGTGTCAGTTTCAATGTTGACAAAAACAAGCTCAGCTGCAAATACAATTCTATATACTTATAATATATATTTATATATATATATACTCATACAATTGCACTAAGGATAGGTAAGTACAGAGCGAGTGATGGTTTCTGCTATTTCTATGATCGAATAAACGGTGTAATCAAATGCCGGCATAACATCTTTTGATCC